TAGGGAGCTCCACCGAAGGCCCCAGTGCCCGCGCCCGCATGCGTCACCCACACCCATTTCGGCACACCCCTCACACGTTTCGTGGCTCCATAGGGAGCTCCACCGAAGGCCCCAGTGCCCGCGCCCGCATGCGTCACCCACACCCATTTCGGCACACCCCTCACACGTTTCGTGGCTCCATAGGGAGCTCCACCGAAGGCCCCAGTGCCCGCGCCCGCATGCGTCACCCACACCCATTTCGGCACACCCCTCACACGTTTCGTGGCTCCATAGGGAGCTCCACCGAAGGCCCCAGTGCCCGCGCCCGCATGCGTCACCCACACCCATTTCGGCACACCCCTCACACGTTTCGTGGCTCCATAGGGAGCTCCACCGAAGGCCCCAGTGCCCGCGCCCGCATGCGTCACCCACACCCATTTCGGCACACCCCTCACACGTTTCGTGGCTCCATAGGGAGCTCCACCGAAGGCCCCAGTGCCCGCGCCCGCATGCGTCAGCCACACCCATTTCGGCACACCCCTCACACGTTTCGTGGCTCCATAGGGAGCTCCACCGAAGGCCCCAGTGCCCGCGCCCGCATGCTGGCACCGACATTGCGTTCGGCACACCCCTCACACGTTTCGTGGCTCCCTCCACCGAAGGCCCCAGTGCCCGCGCCCGCATGCGTCCCACACCCATTTCGGCACACCCCTCACACGTTTCGTGGCTCCATGGGAGCTCCACCGAAGGCCCCAGTGCCCGCGCCGCATGCGTCAGCCACACCCATTTCGGCACACCCCTCACACGTTTCGTGGCTCCATAGGGAGCTCCACCGAAGGCCCCAGTGCCCGCGCCCGCATGCGTCACCCACACCCATTTCGGCACACCCCTCACACGTTTCGTGGCTCCATAGGGAGCTCCACCGAAGGCCCCAGTGCCCGCGCCCGCATGCGTCAGCCACACCCATTTCGGCACACCCCTCACACGTTTCGTGGCTCCATAGGGAGCTCCACCGAAGGCCCCAGTGCGTCAGCCACACCCATTTCGGCACACCCCTCGCACGCTTCGCGGCCCCATGGGGAGCTCCACCGAAGGCCCCAGTGCCCGCGCCCGCATGCGTCAACCACACCCATTTCGGCACACCCCTCACACGCTTCGCGGCCCCATAGGGAGCTCCACCGAAGGCCCCAGCGCCCGCGCCCGCATGCGTCAGCCACACCCATTTCGGCACACCCCTCACACGTTTCGTGGCTCCATAAGGGAGCTCCACCGAAGGCCCCAGTGCCCGCGCCCGCATGCGTCAACCACAACCATTTCGGCACACCCCCCACACGTTTCGCGGCCCCACAGGGAGCTCCACCGAAGGCCCCAGCGCCCGCGCCCGCATGCGTCAGCCACACCCATTTCGGTACACCCCTCAAACGTTTCGCGGCCCCATAGGGAACTCCACCGAAGGCCCCAGTGCCCGCGCCCGCATGCGTCAGCCACACCCATTTCGTCAACTCCCTCACACGCTTCGTGGCCCCATAGGGAGCCCCACCGAAGGCCCCAGTGCTGCCGCCCGCATGCGTCCCGCACACCCATCCCCTTCACACGTTTCGTGGCCCTATAGGGAGCCCCACCGAAATTGGTAGTGTCAACTGCGGTATTCACACCTGCACATGGTTGGGTCCTTCGTCAGGCTAATTCCCTTGTGTAAATCTGTGTGAGTCTTGGCCGACCGATCGAGACCTGGGAGCCCGAACGAGCGAACGAACCGATTCCATCGCTGTCTGGTTCAGGGCGCCCTTGGGCCGGTGCATAGCTACCGGCGCGTACGTTTGTACACCAGTGCCTCCAGAGCACCACGTTTACAGAAGCCCACCAGGGGCTCACACGCGAGAGAAACAGTTTCGTGGGTGTTGGCGCTGCGCTGGACGGAAGAATGGATTATCACCATAATCATCAGGGATTATTGTGATTGACGACGGCTATCCGAAGTCCATCGACGAGGCTAACGCCAACGCCGACAATTTAGTCCCCCCCCTGAGGCTGCGGACGTCCACGGGCCTGAAGTAGCAGACGAACATCGCCAGCAGGCAGAGCGGGATGGTCCAGCACTGGCGGGGGCGGCACAGATGCCAGACAATCCAGCACGCCACCTCGAAGGGGGCGGGAGGGACCGTCTGCGCTGGAATGAGCAGCCCGAGGCCCCGAGCAGCTCGCGAGAAGCGAGGGGGCCTCAGCTTTCCGACGGGCGACAGGCCGCACAGGTTCCAGGCGGCCGCGGCGCACATCTTCACGAGGTCGGGCCTCTCGAAACCCTCGAGAAACAAATAGTCCGCGAAGTCCACCAGCGCAATGTCGGCATTCCGAACGCTGTCCAAGGCGCAGCCGTTCATGGCCGCAAAATCCTGGAGCTCCGCCCACCGGGCTGTGCACAGGGCCTCCGTAGGTGCCGTGATCGAGTGACGTTCGAGAATGGTATGCTGTCCGCTCAGCGCCTGGTCCACGAAGCCCCCGAAGATCCCCCGGCGCCCCCCCCTGCGGACCTCCCCGGTGGCTCCTGAAATGCGCTCGCAGGCCCCCTGGCGTTGGAGGCAGTGGCCCGTCGGGGCGGCAGGGCTCGCAGAGCAAACTGCTCGCTGGAGCCTGTGGGCCTTGGTCGTGACCCCCTGCCCGCGCCGCGCCAGCGCTGTCAGGGGCCCACCCTGACGGACGGGGCGCTTGGGCCCTCCAGCCCTGCGGAGCCCCGACGTCTGCCGCCCATCGCCGAGAGGACTTGTCTGATGTATCATTCAGCTCGGACGGCACCGAGCGCGGTGCCAAACTCGAGCCTGTAGCCAATAGATACGCAGCGACACGCCCGATGATGATGAGTAGGTCGCAAGACGGTGCCCGAGAACGCCCAAGTGCAAGAGCGCCCCCCAGCTGATCCCCCATTAGTAACATTCGTTTCCCAAAAGACTGAGTAGATGTCATATAGTGCTGTACTCCCAATAAGGACGCTCGTGCCTCCAACTAATATAGGTATAGCCTCCTCTCTCCTAAAACGCATAGCAAAGACCTCATGCCATTCGTCGGGGTCCATGAAACTCTCGGGCACCTCCTCGAAAACTGGATTCGGCTCCAATTCCTCCAAAGACTCCCAAGAGCTTGACGGGCGACGGGCAACACCGAATCGACGTCGGACAACGGGTCTAGACCGAGTGCATGCTGACGAGGGCGACGGTGAAGCGGATGACAAGATCGATATCTCCAGCGCTCCCTGACGCGGCCGATGAAGCAACAACCTCCGGGGCAGCATGTCGAGAGGCTACCCCTGCACCGGACTCGCACGCGTCAGTCGACACGACAGTTCCGTGCCACGGTCTGTCTAAGCGAGCGACCCCGAGAAAAGTAAGGGATCTTATCCATCGAACCTCGCGGCGAGCAGATGGCCACAAGCTTTGTGCGCTCTTTCCTGCTGCCTGCGCGAAATCGTAGACTGCTCGAGGCGTCGAGAGGACCTCTCGTCTAATGAGAAAGAAATCAACCACGTGGCCAAGAAACTGCTTCATCTGCTTTCCTGTGACGGGTTGCCCCCGTTCCAAGGCCTCACAGACTTCACGTAAACGCTCTCCCCGTTCATGTCGATTACGGACTATCCAAGACCCCCATCTACCACTCGGCCCAAAGAATACGACAACAACTCTGGATCGGTCTCCTCGTGGACTGTGAACTTCACGAAACGTAACCTAGACGCGATCAGACCCTTGCCCTCCTGAACCTCCTCCCTCCTGATGCCAGCGACGTTGATATTGTCGCAGTAGGGTAGAAGGTAGAACGGCTAGCTGGGTCCTCAGGTCGGGAGCGGGGGCCTGGTCTCTCAGAAACTTGAAAACCAAACCAGCCTCATTAAGGGATAACCGACACTGGTGCTCCACCAGGCGCTGCGCGAAATAAAAAGCCCAAGAGAACCCCATAGGCAACGTGAGGAGCACGGGGTACACCATCATGTCCCTGGCCAGGTCCCCGAGCGCCCCCTGGGTCTCGATCCCCGCGCCCCAGCGCCCCCCCTCGAAGATGGGTGGCAGGCAGAAGTAGGGGCAAAGCTGAGGTAGGTCACGAACGCAGTGAAAGCAGTCCTTGACGCCGGCCTGTGCGACCCAGAGTTTACTTCCACCGCTTCCACCATCCAGGCTTCCGCCTTCGCCCAGCTCACCCTCGCACTGCGGGCGCTCCAGATTACCCCAGGCGGCGGCAGCGCCCATCTCAGGGGCAGGTGGGGCTCGGAAGAGCAAATTCGCACTTCTGCAGTCTATGAGAAGTCTCAACTTGTTATTCTTCTTGACTACGAAGAAGGGGGTTACCATACTACTTGGGGTCTCTGCCCAACCTATCATCTCGGCCTCGCTGAGGTCTCGCACCAAAAAACTCTACGTAGACTTCACGCTGCGTCTTAAAAAATATCTCGAAGCACAACCCAAACTGGCGCCCGGACTCTCGATAGAACCACGTCCGCGGGGTCAGCTAGTCTATGAGTATCCCAAACTTTCAGCAAATCCTGGTCAGGTTCTGGAAGAGTGGTCAGCAGGTCGGCCGAGGGTCTCCCAGGATCCGGAAGAAACCTGATCCCGCCGAAATGGACGAACCCTGGTGCTGCAATCGCTTCCTGAGTAGTCAACGATGCGTGACAAGAGCTCGCGAACGGCTCCGTGTCTGGTGCACAAGGTCTGGGACGGCGGAGTGGATGCGACGTCACGGCGCGCAACATCCTGAGAGAGCATCTGGCCCAGCGCGGGGGCCCCATCGTTTACCACAGCGCCGCCGCGCATCTCATTCAAAGTATTGATGACAGAGTTGGTCGCTCCGTCCACCACCCCCCCCCTCGCCAAGCGCCTTCGCACCGACCGAGAAGGGCCCCCCTCAGTGGCTGCCTGAACTGCAACCTCAGGAAAGGGGAAAGAGATCTCGAGGCCGAGCTCTCTCGGGAAAACGTGGACCACTTGAGCGCGTCGCCGCCAAGAGGCTTGGTCCTCTGCCTGCTGGGGGGGGCCGGTTCACCCCTGCCCCGCCTGGCCCTTCTTGGGGTTCTTGTTCTGACGACCCAGGCGGCGCTCCACCCGAGCTTTGCGTTGCTCCTTGGCCACCTGGTGTTCGTCGCGGAGAGACGTAGAGACATGCCGCTGAAGCGAGGGCGCCACCATCATACCCTGGCGGCGGCGGCCCCACCCCATGTGGTGATCCGACGATGAATAGTCGGGAGCCGATGGGTTCAGAGAATGGGCGCTCTCTATCAGATGCAAACGTCTGCACACGAGTTCAGCCGATCGAAGAGAAGAGGCATGCAGTTGGCCAATGCACACCATGCTCTCGAGAACCTCCGACAGCACCTCATGCTCGAAGACGCTGCGGCCCCCGTTCGAGATGCCCGAGGTCGATCGCCAAGCTGCGTGCTGTGAGGCGGGCGTCTGAGACCTATCCACGTACGTCTGGCACCTCCAGGCAACCGTCCCTGGGGCCTCCAGCCCAAGGCCCCCCTCGACCTCATCGGGCACAATGTTCGACACACCATCGTAGAAGGGCCTCTTGCGTCGGCCCATGGCGTCGAACTTGACGGGGAGAACCCTCAGGTCATCGATCTTGTACTCTTCGATCGCATTCATCTGCAAGAAGACCGCGCCGCCCTCGGGGGTTGGGACCACGGCCCGTTCCCCGAGCACCACTGACCATGCAGGGAGCTCCTCGAGGATGTCGCCCTTCTGCTGCCGGCCGTGATCCTCCGCGTAGACCCACGCCCGCCCAGCGTCTGCCCTGCGGGGCCCGCCCGCGCCTAGCCTTTCCAGGCCGTGGCGCTGAGCGTTGCGCAGCGGCTGCGCCTGCGGCCCAGGAGGCGGCGCGGCGGGCGCTCCCAGCATGCCCTGAGCCTCCCCGAAGAGTCGATTGCGAACTTGGGGCGGCACATGCTGGCGGAAGCGGTAGATCCTGTTCTCGGGCACATGGGCAGGACGTCCACCCTGCAGCCCGATCCACTACACCGCCTCTACGTCATCCCCTGGCGCTATGTTGAACTGATAGTGGTCCCCGTCAGCGGTGTAGAGGGTGACCTCTGCGGGATCCTCTGGGCTGATCCCCGTGATCATCACCTCGTGGTAGAGCTCCTCGTCCACGTCCGCATACTTCAGCAAGACAAAATCCCTACAGGACGCCATCACTGCGAGCTGGCTGATGATGCACTCTCGATCCTGGCGCCCCGGCAGGCTCGCACTGCGGCAACCTGCTTGGCGGCCAGCTGCCTGCGCTCACCCGTCTGCTCCTCGGCGGGCGGGGGCGAGTGGCTAGCTGAAGCTGCCGCGGCCTGCCTGCCAGCCCAAGCTCGGCCCAGGCCAAAGCCCGTGAGCAGCTGGAGCAGGGCGGGCACCGCGCCGTTGAGGAAGGACGCGCCTCCCTCCTGCAAGGGGTACTGGACCTCGACCGCGGGGCAGACCACCTCTGGGCACTCAGGTCGTGGGCAGACCACCTCTGGCGCCCGACACACCACCTCGGGGCAATCCAACGGCGCTGGCGTCGGCGGATCCTCCCCTCCGCTGCTGGGGGCCAGCTCTGTGATCGGCTCGGGGAGCCCCCGCAAGAAGATCGCCGCCCAGCCAGGGAGCCCCGCTATGGCAGCAACTGTCAGAGCAGTGAACTGGCCGGGCCCTATCATACACCCGAGAGAATATCCTGAGCTAAATGCTACGGAGCATTGCATGAGACAGAGAAAACAAGGCGGCGTTCTATCTGGAGGCATTTACGCTTGGCTGGTCATACCTACACATTTCCGTCTATATATATAGACATAAACATATACATATGCATGGACGCATGCATATGCATATCCGTATATAAATTCATAAAAGTACATGTAATATACATGTACATATACATGTGCATACACATATACATACACATACGAATACACATAGACATATATTTACATACCAATACATATGCATGTACATATGCATGCCCGTATACATATACATATCTATATATATATACATAGACATGTACATATAGGTGTACACGCGTGTGTGTATGTATACCTATTCGCTCGGTCTCTCTTTCTGCTTCGCCCCCTTCCCCTCCCGCTTCTCTAGTGTGATGTCCCTTCCTCTCCCCTCCTCCCCCCTTCCCCCCGCCCTCTACCTCGACCCCGTCCTTGTGGAGGAGGCGCCGCAGGATGGAGTTAGAGGGGAGTGGGAAATAGGAGGCGAAGCGCGACAACGGCAAACCAAAAACGGCATCGGGGAAACCAAAGAACGAAAGAACCAAAGTAAATCCGCAAAAACTGCGTCGTCGGCGGCGGCGCACGATGGCCAAGTACTCAGTTCTGGAGTTTGGTTAATTATTCAGGTTATGCTGTTGCTTACTCCATGCGTGCGCGTGCGGTCTGCCAGAGGAGAAGGGGGAATCGGCAGGCAGAGCTCGAGGAGGACGGAATACGCGACCCCCACCCCCCACCAAGACAAAAACGAGAAACCCACTACGGTACTCCGGCGGCGGCTGGATGTTCATGCTTTGTTGTCTCTGTGCCCTCGTCGGGTGTTCTGCCCTCCCCGCTCTCCCACTCCCGTTGTCCCCTCTTCCCATTTCCACCCGCCTCGCGCTGGTGATGCTCCTCATCCTTCCTTCCCCCTTCCTTCCTCTTGCTTCTCCTTCGCTTCCTGTCCCTTCTCGGAGCACAGTCGGCGCGCCACCAGCAGGAACGCCAGAAGGGGCGTTTCTGGCCACGGCGGGCCTGGGCCACGAACAGGTTCCCCGACCTAGATCTATCGAGGGGCCCAGGGACACACAAAAAATACACACAAATAAAGGATTCCCCAAATCGTGGGAGAGCATGCGGAAGACCGTGCGGGAGACCACAACATGGGAGAGCACTCATGCGGGAGAGCACACTGGCCACCGACTCGGGTCCAGAGAGGCGCGCACGGTCTTGCAAAAATCTCACGTGTAGGGAGCCTACCTTACGGGCAAGCTGCTCGGGGAAAGAGATGTCCTGGGACCCCCCCTTCCGTCCATCCAAGCATTTTTGTTCATGCTGGATCGGTTTCTTTTTGTCCCAGGACCTCATCCGCCGCCCCCCTCCCGTTTCCACTCCTCCTCCTCCTCCTCCTCCTCCTCCTCTTCCTCCTCCTCCTCCTCCTCCTCCTCCTCCGGGTCCTCCTCCTCCTCCTCCTCCTCCTCCTCCTGCTGCTGTGCTTCACGCTAGGCACCTCCATACCATGTCTGCCAATCACCTCCTTTTACTTCACGAGGCCGGAGCCTTCAATCACCAAGCAACGCCCCAAAAATGATGGAGACCCGCGCCCTCACTAACAACCGTGACGATCCTTCTTCCTCTCCTCCTCCCGCCCCCTCCTCCTCGTCCTCGTCCTCACAGGTAGGCCTTCAGGCTGGCGATCTCCCCAGAGGCGGTCTTGATCGAGAAGCCCAACGACCTTGCCTTCGCGGGGCAACACGCAGGCGGCACGGAGCAGATTAGATTGCGTCGCCGCGTCCTCCTCATCCTCGTCTTATCACTATGCTTCACACTGCTGATTCGCAGTAAATTACCTATAAACATATGTGTATATATGGTTGTGGTACTTCCCGTGACCCCGAAACACATGATGTTCTTATATGATCAAATGTCTATACATCTGTATATATACGTAGATATGTGTGTACACATGCGTGTGTACAACACTAGCGTGTGTACAAACATATATGTGTACGTACATGTATGCGTGCATGGCGACATACATATGTACCTGCATACATCGGTGTGCATATGCATGTACAGCGACATGATCGTAGGCGTATGCATATACTTGGACATATGCGCACACCGACTACATGCATATACACACAAGCATGACCAAACAAATATGTACATATACTAATACATATATATACTTATATATATATATATATTAGAATATATATATATATATAGATATATATATATATATATATATATATATATGCCGGCGGAACAGGATCGAGGCCGCCAGGAGTGGACCTGCGCCCTCCATGGGGGCTCCACCACTCACTTTCCCTGTGTTTTTACAAGGTTTCGGCGTTCCAGGACCTCCGAGGCGGCAGCGGCGACCCCCGAGGCCGCCAGGAGTGGACCCGCGCCCCCCATGGGGGCTCCTGGGCTCACTTTCCCTGTGTTTTTACATGGTTTCGGCGTTCCATGGCCTCCGAGGCGGCAGCTGCGACCCCGGACATCTTGTTGACCTTCGGACGGAGGCCCAAAACCAGCCCCAGAGCGCTCCAAGATGGCCCACGACGCCTCCTACACCGCACGAAGACGGCCCCAGAGAGCTCCAAGCGGCCCCCACGACGGCCCAAGAGGGCCCCAAGACGGCACAAAAGGCACCGAAAACGGTCCAAAGGAGTTCCGACACGGACCCCGAGAGGCGAAAAAAAAGCTCACAGGGGCCCTCCACATGCCCAGGCCGCCCAAGAGGCCAAAAAAGGCCCCGAGATACACCAGAGCATACCCCAAGAGGCTTGAAAAACTGCGTCTCACCCTGCTTCTCGTCCGCCTTGTCACCTTCCTGCTCCTCATATCTTCTGGTTGTCCAGCTCTCTCCTGGTCTCAGGAAATATAAACATATTCCCGGAACTGCCAGGAGGAACAGCATTCCTCGAGTGTTTTTTTGGTTGTTCTTCGCCGCCCTGCTCCATCGTCATTCCTGATCCTCCGCCTGCCGCGGCTGCTCTTCATGTACTCCCTCACCTTCCCCTTCCTCCTCCTCCCGCTCCCCTTCTCCACCTTCTCACCCACCTGCTTGTGGAGCTCTCTCCCGGTCTCTCGAAGTATGTTCCCGGAACGCCTGCCGGAACATAATTTCTTTGCTTGCGTTCGAGTGTTTCTTTTGTTCTTCGCCACCCTGCCTCTTCGACTTTCTTCCCATGTCCTCCTCCTGCTGCGGCTGCTCAACATGCTACTCCTGCACCTCCCCCTGTCCTTCTTCTACCTCCTCCTGCTCCCCCTGAACCTCCCTTCCTCCCGCTCCCCTTCTTCTCCTCCTCACCCTCCTTCCCTTCCGCCTACTCCTTATGTCCTGCTCGTCCTGCTCCCCCTCCTTTTCCTGCCGCTCACCTTGTCCTGCGTGTCTGTCCTCCTCGTCCTTCTCATCCTCCTGCTCCTCCCCCTCCTCTTCCTCCTCCTCCTCCTCCTCCTTCTCTTCCTCCTCCTCCTCCTCCTCCTTCTCGAGATTCCTCCTCCTGCTCTAGCCCTCATCCTCCTTCCTGTCCTCCTCCTCCTTCTCGGGCTCCTCCTCCTCCTGCTGTCACGAAATATGTTCTCGGGAAGCTTCCCGGGAATGTAATTCCGCGTGCGTGCCTCCCTTTCTCCACCTCACCGATATTATCCTCCTTCTCGTTTCCCTCCTCTTCTTTCTCGGGCTCATCCTCCTCCTATCGCGCAAGATGTTCCCAGGAAGACTCCCGGGAACATAAGTCCCATCCCCTTGCTCAAGCGCCTGATCCCTCCTGGGCAGCCCTTCCCCCTCCTCCTCCTCCTTCCTCTGATCCACCTCCTCTGGCTGCTCTTCCTCCTATTCCTGTTCCTCTCCCTCTTCTTCCTCCGCCTCCTCCTGCTTCCCCTCGACTTCTCCCTCTCTCTCTCCCTTGCTTCTGCCGTGTGTCCTTCCTCGTCACTCCGCGGGTCGTGGGGCCGAAGAGTCTCGGAAGCCGATGGGTCGTGGGGCCGCGATTGAGGAATTTCGACCCTAGAGGTCAGGAGCGTCCAGGGGCCGAACGATTCGGAGGCCTCCTGGGGCCGACTTCAGGGGTCGTGGGGCCTACGGTTCCCGGGGGTATCCAGACCGGGGAGGGCGCCCGGATCGGGAGGCGTCCGGACCAGGGAAGGGGAGGGGGAGGAGGAGGAAGGGCAGAGGATATTGAGGAGGAGGAGGAGGAGGGGGAGGAAAAGGAGGAGAGGGAAGAGGAGGAAAAGAACGTGTAGGAGGAGCAGAAGCAAATGAGGAAGGATGAGGAGGTGGTGGAGGAGAAGGACGGGAACTAAGGAAACGGAGGAAAGAGACAGGCGAGGAGGAGGAGGAGGAAGAGGACGAAGGAGGAGGAAGAATAGAAGAAGGAGAAGGAGAAGGAGGAGAAGGAGAAGGAGGAGGAGAAGGACGGACAGATATGTGTATATATCTATATATGTGTATACACACATAAGAAAAGGCCTGCCTTGGTACTTTTGCCAGGGCCTTGCCGTGATCTCGGTTAGAACCAAAGCGCGCGCGAAGCGCGCGCGATGGTTCTAGTATATATATACACACATGCATATACTTCTACAAACACGCATACAAATACATATACATATGCACGTACAGATGCACATACATAGATATACACATATGTACATATACAAACACGTATATACAAGCGCAAATATATACATATACGTATACACCTACGTATACACATACGGTTGCAGCCAAGTAGATCTATACATATTCACAAACTGTATAGTTGCAAGTGTGTAGACATATACACCCATACGTGTACATGCGTATGCCTGCATACAAACATGTATATACACCGATCTGTGTTCATAAAATACAGGTACATCGACATCAGTACATGAATGCGTATATGTTTAGTCTACGCATTGCTTTGTGAGCATACTTGAATAGACATGTACATATGCATGCCCATACATATATATATGTTCGCCCCCCCTGTGATCATACATTTCGCTGTTGTTTCTCATCAGCTTCGTCGTCGTCGTCGTCGTCCTCCTCCTCCTCCTTCTCCTCATCTCCCTCCCCATCATCCCCCCTCATCCTTTCTCCTCCTTCTTCCTCCATTATTCTCTTTATTGTTTTCCTTCTACTCCTCCTCTCCTCCTCCTCCTCCTCCTCCTCCTCCTCCTCCCCCTCCTCCTCCTCCTCCTCCTCCTCCTTCTCCTCCTCCTCCTCCTCCTCCTCCTCCCTCTCCTCCTGCCCCTCTCCCTCCTCCTCCTCATCCTCCTCCTCCCCCTGTGCCTCCTCCCTTTCCTCCTCTTCCTCCTCCTCCTCCTCTCCTTTCCCATCTTCTCCATTCGCCTTGTCTTCGCTACTTCCCACTTCTTTCTTTGTCAGCCCTCCCCCTCGTATGCTGCCCACTCTCCGTCCGCATCGGTGTCGTTCCTTCCCGCTGCATTTCTTTATATGACTCGTTCCTTCTCCTTTTGATTATGTTCGTTATCCTCCCGATCCTCCCTCCTCCCTCACCCCTCGTCCCTCCTCCTTCCTCCCACCCTTCTCCGTTGCAGGGCCTCGTCATCTTCTTCCCCTTCGCAAGCTTCCTTACCGCCCTCGTTCCTTCTACTCTTTATTGTCCCTCCTACTCTTCATTATCATTGTCGTTCCTTCTACTCGTTTATCGCTGATCCGACTTCTCTGCATATGTTCGTCTTTCCAAGGGCCTTCAAACATCGACTCCTTATGTGTAGGGGCCTCCACATATTGATTCCATTTGTGGAGGGACCTCCACATAATGATTCCATATGTGCAAGAGGCTTCCATAATGATATCTTGTGTGGAGGGGCCTCCCACTCGTTGAATCCTTATGTGGAAAGGGCCTGATTCCTCTTGTGGGGGATCCTCCACATATTGTTTCCTTATGTGGAAGGGATCTCCACATGTTGATTCCGTCTGTGGAGGGACCTCCACATGTTGATTCCTTATGAGCAAGGATCTCCATATTGATTTCTTATGTGGAGGGGCCTCCAACTTGTTCATTCCTTATGTGGAAGGGGCCTTCACCTAATGATTCCTTATGTGAAAGGGCCTGCACATATGGATTCCTTATGTGGATGGGCCTTTTCATGTCGATTCCTTATGTGGAGGGGCCTCCACAAATTGATTCCGTCTGTGGAGGGACCTCCACATATTGATTCGTTCTGTGGCGGGCGATCTCCTTTTCCTCCTCCTCCTTCTGCTCATCCTCCCCCTCCTTCTCTCACTCCGGCGCAGGGGTTGAGGAGAAGAAGGATCAGAAGGAGTAGGAGGAGAAAGATGAGGAGAAAGATGATATTGTTTCCTTTTGTGGGGGATCCTCCACATATTGATTCCTTATGTGGAAGGGACCTCCGCATGTTAATTCCGTCTGTGGAGGAACCTCCACATATTGATTCCCTATGTGCAAGGGGTCTCCATATTGATTTCTTTTGTGGAGGGTCCTCCCACTTGTTGATTCCTTATGTTGGAAAGGGTCTGCACATATTGATTCCTTATGTGGATGGGCCTTCAAATTATCGATTCCTTAAGTTGAGGGGCCTCCACATGTTGATTCCGTCTGTGGAGGGACCTCCACCAATTGAGTTCTTTTGCGGCGGGCGATTTCCTTTTCCTCCTCCTCCTCCTCCTGCCCCTCCCCCTCCTCCTCCCGCTCTGGCGCAGGGGTTGAGGGTAAGAAGGAGCAGAAGAAGTAGGAGGAGAAAGATGAGGAGGAGAAAGATGATATTGTTTCCTTTTGTGGAGGGGCCTCCCCCACATGTTTTCCTTATGTGAAAGGGGCCTCGCGCATATTGATTCCTCTTGTGGGGGGGGAATCCTCCACAGATTGACTCCTTATGTGGAAGGGACCTCCACATGTTGATTTCGTCTGTGGAAGGACTTCCACATATTCATTTCTTAGGTCAAAGGGGTCTCCACATGGATTTCTTATGTGGATGGGCCCTCGAATATAGACTCGTTATGTGGAGGGGCCTCCACATATTGAGTTTGTCTGTGGAGGGACCGCCGCATATTGATTCCTTATGTGCAAGGGGTCTCCATATTGATATCTTGTGTGGAGGGGCCTCCAACATGTTGAATCCTTATGTGGGAGGGGCCTTCATACATGAGTTCCTTATGTGAAGGAGCCTGTCCAAATTGATTCCTTATGTGGGAGGCCCTTCACATATCGATCCCTTATGTGGAGGGGCCTCCACATGGATTCCTTGTCTGGAGTAGGAGGAGAAAGATGATGAGGAGGAGGAAGAGTAGGAGGCGGAGGTGGACACGGGGGAAGCGGATGTACATATCGACTCCTTTTGTGGCGGGGCGGGGTAGTACATATACTGGGAGGAGAGGAGAGGAGGAGGAGGAGGCGGAGAGAGAGAGAGAGTGTCAAGAGAGGGAGGAGAGAGACAGAGGGAGGAAGAGAGAGAGAGGAAGGGAGAGGAGAGGAGGAGAGAGAGAGAGAGAGAGTCAAGAGAGGGAGGGGGATAGATAGAGAGAGAGAGAGAGTCAAGAGAGAGAGAGGGGAAGGAGAAGAGAGGAGAGATAACGAGAGAAAGAGAAACGGAATTCGGCAGAGAACGGGCGGGAACGTTGAGTCAAGGAGTCGACTAGGCGGAGGAGACGGAGGAGGGTGTTTTGTTTTCCTTTTGTTCCTCCTCCCCGCCCTCGGAGGCGGAGTTGTTTCTTTGCTTCCATGTGAAAACACAAGTGTTTTCATATGTTTCCCTTTTTTCCTGTTTTTCGCTATCCCTTTCGGCCCCTCGGGGTTTCCCCGCCGCCCCAGGGCCCGAAAAACATGGAAAAACATAGAAATATGAAAAACAACTATGTTTTCACAGGGAACAAAAGGAAAACAACTCCTCCTCCGAGGGCGGGGAAAAAGGGGAAAAGAGGAAAAAACACTCTCCTCCGTCTCCTCCGCTTACTCCTCCGCTTCCTCCTTGTTTCTCCTGTTTTCCGTTTGTTTCTCCTCCCCGCCCTCGAAGGGGGAGTTTTTCCTATTGTTCCATGTGAAAACACAAGTTGTTTCCTATGTATCCTTTTTTCCCTCTTTTTCTGTCTCCCGTTCGGCCCCTCAAGGTTTCCCCGCCGCCCCAGGGGGGGAGCGAAAAGCAGGAAAAAAAAGGTGCGTGTGTATACTTAGTAACCATTATTTTCTTTATATATATACATATATATATGGGGAAGAGAAAAAAAGCAAAACAAAAAAAAACAAACAAACAAAACAAAAAAAAACAAAAAAAAAAAAAAAAAAAAAAAAAAAAAAAAAAAAAAAAAAACTCCGAAGGCGGGGAAAAAAGAAAAAAGGGAAAAACACCCTCCTCTGTCTCCTCCGCTTACTCCTCCGCTTCCTGATTTTTTCATTTTTTTCTTTTTTCATGTTTTTCCTCCTGCCCGCCCTCGAAGGCGGAGTTGTTTTCCTATTGTTCCATGTGAAAACACAGGTTGTTTCCTATTTTTCAATTTTTTGTTTTCCTGTTTTTCGGTCTCCAGTTCGGCCCCCGCGGACACCCTCCTCCGTCTCCTCCGCTTACTCCTCCCCCCCTACTCCCCTCCCCCGAGATGAGGAGAAGGAGGAGGAGGAGGAGGAAGAGGAGGAGGAGGAGGAGGAGCAGGAAGAGGACGACGACGACGACGACGACGACGAAATGTATGATCACAGGGGGGGCGACCATATACATAATATATATATATATATATATATATATATATATATATATCGATGTGTATGAAGAGCGCGTTTCACGGGCGCGCCTTGGGAACATTCGGCGGCGCGTTTCGAACGGGGGGGCGGGCCCCCCCCCAACACTCGGCGCCGTCGATCAAAACCAAGGGGGACTCCCCTCCCTCCCAAGCCCCCCCCCTCCCGACCCCCCCCCCCGTCCCAAGGGGGGGTGGGGGGATTTGGTTTGAACCCCCCCCCCCCTCAGCGGCGGCGCCGGCAGCCGCCAGCAGCGCCGAGAGCGGGGACGCAGCGACGATGACCAGAGGCAGCCCAAAGGGGGGGGAGGTTCAAACCCCCCCCCCCCCTTGCGCCGAAGAGGAGGAGGGGGGTTCAAACCCCCCCACCCACCCCCCCACCCCCCTGGCGCCGGCGACGGCGGGGACGCAGCGACGATAACCACCACTACCACCACCACCACCACCACCACTACCACCACCACCACCGCCTCAACGCACCACCACCACATCAACCCACCACACGACCACCACCACCACCACCACAGCCACCACCACCACCACAACCACCACCACCACAACTCACCATCACCACCACCACCACCACAAAAACCCACCACCACTACCACCACCACCACCACATCTACCACACCACCACCACCACCGCCACAACCACCACCACTACCAGCAGCACACCCCCCACCACCACCACCACACCACCACACCACCAGCACCACCCCACCACCCTCCACACAGCACCACCTCCACAAACCACCGCCACCACCACAACCCTCCACCTCCACCACCACCAAACCACCACCCCACACCACCACCAAACCACTACCACCACCACCACCACCACCACCAACCCACCACCACCACCACACCACCACACAAACCACCACCACCACCACCACCCACCACCACCACCACCACACCACCACCACCACCACCACCACCCACCACCCACCACCACCACCACCATAACCACCACTAACCACAACAAACCACCACACCACCACCACAACAACCACCACCACCGCCTCCATAACCACCACAACCCATCACCACCACCACTACCACCACCACCACCATCGTCCTCGTCGACGCTCCCCGCCGCCGCCGCCCGCCGCCGCAGGCGCCGGCACCGACCCAGAAAAGGAAATCGCCGCCAGCCGCGGCCGCCGCCAGCCGCCGCCGCCGCCAGCCGCCGCCGCCGCCAGCCGCCGCCGCCGCCAGGGGGAGGGGTTGGAGCGTTCTCGCCCTGTCGCACTCCCGACGCTAGGCCCCCAAGATCGCCCCAAGACACCCCCATTGGCCCCCAAGATCGTCCAAGGTGGCCCAAGAGGCCCCCGAAACGGCCCAAGAGGCCCCTAAGACGGCCCCAGAGGGCCCCAAGAGATTCCGAGATGAGGGGAACTCGAACTGACATCCCGAGCCCTCTGCCTAAAGATGGTGACAAATCCGCAATGGTCGTAGCATTCTGGCCTTTCCTCTTCCAATGTGCTTCGAAGGCCCGAAGATGATTCCAACATGACCGAAGGGTGCCCCAAGAGGGCTTCCAAGGCGACCACAAAAGCCCAAGAGCGCCCCAGGAGAATCTCAAGAGGGTTCCAAGAAGCGATTTCTAGGGCTCAAAACGGTCGACGCAGGTAGGTCCCCCCCTTCATTTAGTCGATGCCATCCAACACGACCCCAAGAGTGGCACAAAAAGGGCCCAAAATGCCTCGGTCCGAATTGACTGTCAAGAAGCTTTCAGATCGAAAGATCCGCGATGGCATTTATGGTTGACTCCTGGGTCTGCGAAGGCTGATCCAGAACTTCGGTTTGACGGCTGCACCATTTTGTTTTCCACGGTTTTTTCCTACATCCCCCTGATCCAGGTAAATCGCCTGGGCATCGTGTCTGGATGGGCTGGTGAGGATCGACGTGTCAAGAATAAGCACACGAAGTCGTATCCCCTCCTCCTCCTCTTCTCCCTCCTCTTTAACAACAACAAACAATAACAATAACAACAACAACAACAACATCATCATCATCATCATCAGCATCATCATCATCAGCATCATCATCAGCATCATCATCATCAGCATCATCATCAGCATCATCATCATCCTCATCATCGTCATCGTCATCGTCATCGTCATCATCATCATCATCAGCATCATCATCGTCAGCAGCGTCATCATCATAAGCGTCAGCATCATCATCATAAATATCATCGTCAACATCCGCATCATCATAAACAACAGCAGCGACATCATCATCATCATCATCACCATGATAATCATCATCATCAGCAGCATCATCATCAGCATCAGCATCATCAACATCAGCAGCATCAATATCAACATCAACAGCATCATCATCATCATCAGCAGCAGCAGCAGCAGCAGAAGCATCCTTCTCCTTTTCCCCCTCCTCCTCCTCCTCCTTCTCCTCCTCCTCCTCCCCCTCCCACGATCACCTCTCCCCCTCTCCCTCGTCCCTTTCCTCTGTTCCTCCTTGTCCTCTTGTTTGCTCCTCCTCCACCTCCTCCTCCCTCCGCCCTCCTCGCCCCTCCCCCCTCTCGAATCCCATCTCGTATTCCTCCTCCTCCTCCTCCTCCTACTCCTACTTCTACTCCTACTCCGACTCCGACTCCGACTCCGACTCCGACTCCTACTCCTACTACTCCTACTCCTCCTCCTCCTCCTCCTCCTCGTCCTCCTCCTCCAACTCCTGTTCCTCCTCCTCCTCCTCCTCCTCCTCCTCCTCCTCCTCCGCCTCCTCCAGCTCTTCCGCCGCGCGCAGAACCCGGCGGAGACCTTGTCCTCGCACCACTCAGAGAACTCCGCGAAGACCTTGTGCGACTCCTCACCCTCGCCGATGACCTCTGCGGGGAAAGACGGGGGGAGCCGGCCGCTCGGCGAGGAGTACCTTGCAGAAGAGGAAGGGACGAAAGAAAACAGCGGCTGGTGGCCATAGGCATCTTGCTTTCGAGAAGGTTTGAGTTGTGGGGACGCGTTGGAAGCGTTGCTTACGGCCGTTCTCGTTGGCTGCGGAACCATGGGAACGGCCTCGGTCCCCCCGGGCGCCTGTTGACAGCATAGTGGATTGGTATACTCATGGGAATGGGACCCCGGCACCTTTTACGATGGCAACTGCCGAGGCGCGGAGCCGATGATGGTCAGCGCCGGAAGGGCAGAGGCCTATGATGGTCTTCGCCTGGGGAGGAGACGGAGGAGAAGCGGATGTCCGCGAGCGTCCGGCCATCTGTGGAGCCGAAGCCAGAATTCCTGACCGCGAGAATCCCCAAACAGGAGACGCTGAGTGGAACAAAAAGTGCCCGACCCCGGGGGCGGGGGCGGGGGGTGGCGCGAACACGAATGGTCCAGAAACCCGTGGAAGCACTCTCTGCGGGGCTTTCCACAAAAAATCCAGAAACCCGAGGAAACATGGCAGATGCACTCTCGGAGGAGATTTTCACGTGTGAATGCTTTCCAGCACGACGTCGACGTGAACCACCATCATCATCATCATCATCATCATCATCATCATCAGCAGCAGCAGCAGCAGCAGCAGAAGCATCATCATCATCATCATCATCATCATCATCATCATCATCATCATCATCATCATAATCATCATCATCATCATCATCATCATCATCAGCAGCATCAGCATCAGCATCAGCATCAGCATCAGCATCAGCATCATCATCATCATCATCATCATCACCATCATCATTGTCACCATCATCACCATCGTCGTCATCAACAGCAGCAGCATGATTATCATCGTCCTCGATCACCGACAACATCAGCAGCAGCAGAAGCATAATCATCATCAACAACATCATCATAATCAGTAGCGGCATCAGCAGCATCATCATCATCATCATCAGCAGCAGCATCGTCATTGCCATCAGCATCACCATCAACAACATCACCATCAGTATCATGAGCATTGTCATCATCATCATCGTCATCATAATCTGCAACGTCACTATCACCATCATCATCATTATCATCATCCTCATCACGAGCATCATCATCAGTACCATCAGCATCAGGATCGACATCATCGTCATGCGTATCATTATCAGCAGCAGCATCACAATCAACATCATCACCATGAACATCGTCAGCATTATCGTCATCATCATCATCGCCATCATCAGCATCGTCAGCAGTGTCGTCCTTATCATCATCATCATCATCATCATCATCATCATCATCATCATCATCATCATCATCATCACGGCATCGACATCATCCTCATCATTATCACCATAATCCGCCGGCCCCCTTGTGGGGCCACCAGGCTGTAGGCCAGAGGTTCGCAGTTTCCTGTATCAATTGCCCAGTTGCAGCTTCCAGTTTCCACTGTTACAGTTTTGCTTTTTGCTGCTTACTGTTCCTTGTTGACTTCTTGCTGCTTACTGTTCCTTGTTGATGGACCGCGCGAGGGGGGGAGGCTCTAAACGGGTAGTTTTACCACGCCCAAAACGTATTGTCTGAATTGCTGGGGTGGGTAAGAATTCACACCCCTCACACAGATCGGCGGGGTCAGGGTCCAAAAACAAATGGGATCTGCCACATTTCCCAAAGTTGCTGGCACCCCTCACGCAGATCGGCGGGGTCAGGGTCCAAAAACACATGGGATTTGCCACATGCTTGAAATTTGCTGGCACCCCTCACGCAGATCTAAAAACACATGGGATTTGCCACATTTCCCAAATTTGCTGGCACCCCTCACGCAGATCGGCGGGGTCAGGGTCCAAAAACACATGGGATTTACCACATGTTTGAAATTTGCCGGCACCATCACGCAGATCGGCGGGGTCAGGGCCAAAAAACAAACGGGATTTGCAACATGTCTAAAATTCGGTGGCACCCCTCACGCAGATCGGCGGGGTCAGGGTCCAAACACACGAGGGATTTGCCACATGTCTAAAATTCGGTGGCACCCCTCACGCAGATCAGCGGGGTCAGGATCCAAAAACACATGGGATTTACCACATTTCTGAAATTTGCTGGCACCCCTCACGCAAATCGGCGGGGTCAGGGTCCAAAAACATACGGGATTGGCCACATGTCTAAAATTCGGTAGCACCCCTCACGCAGATCGGCGGGGTCAGGGTCAAAAAACAAAAGGGATCTGCCACATGTCTAAAACTCGGTGGCACCCCTCACGCAGATCAGCGGGTTCAGGATCCAAAAACACAAGGGATTTGCCACATTTCTGAAATTTGCTGGCACCCCTCACGCAGATCGGCGGGGTCAGGGTCCAAAAACATACGGGATTGGCCACATGTCTAAAATTCGGTAGCACCCCTCACGCAGATCGGCGGGGTCAGGGTCAAAAAACATACGGGATTTACCACATGTCTGAAATTCGCTGGCACCCCTCACGCAGATCGCCTGAGCCAGGGTCAAAAAAACAGAAGGGATTTATCACATCTCTGAACTTCGGTGGCACCCCTCACACAGATCGGCGGGATCAGGGTCCAACAACACAACGGATTTGCAACATTTCTGAAATTCGGCGGCGCCCTTCACGCAGATCGGCAGGGATACGACGTCTTACCAATCGCCAGGTGCGGTAACCCCTCTGGTCATGTATTGGTTTTGCTCATTACGAGTCGGCCTCGCATGAAGTTCCGATCCTGCTTCACGACAGCGCCCAGGCCTCATGACATAGCTTTTGCATAGCGCATTATCCGAGAGAGGGGGCCGGCGGCAGGGGGCGAAGCCCTTACGGATCACCATCCACATCATCACTAACATACGCATTAGCATCATCATCCGCAGCATAAGCATCATCGTTATCAGTATCATCATCAGCACCAGCATCACCTCATCATCGCCATCATCATAACATTGACCTTAACCACCATCATCATCGTCATCATCATCACCACACTTACCACCACCATTCTCATCATCGGCATCATCCACATCATCATCATCACCATGAACATATCATTATCATTGTCGTCATCATCAGCATCACCACCATCATCACCATTATCATTAACAGTCAACCTCTATACGAATGCTGCGCCGTAACGGCCATGTTAAACGGCTTGGCGAGCGGAAGCGCCCAAGGATGGGCCGCAGGGCAAGGATGCAAGGATAGCCTAGGAAAGCTGTTCATCCTTACTATGCGGGCTGACTGTAATCATCCACACGATCACCACCATCATCATCATTATCCTCACCACCACCACCATCATCATCATCGGCATCAGCGTCATCATCACCATAATCAGCAGCAGAGTCGTCATCGTCATCGCGACCGCCACCGTCATCGCAATCAACATAGCCACCACCATCAGCAGCATCATCATCATGAGAATCATCATCACCGTCCTCATAGTCACCAAAAACAGCATCATCATCAGCATCATCACAATCGAAGTCATCGTCATCATCATCAGCAACAGCAGCATCGTCATCGGCGACATCATCGCCATCGCCATCGTCATGGACATCACCACCACCACCATCATCATCATCACCACCATCGTCATCAGCAACATCATCCTCATTATCACCGTCATTATCATCATACAATCACCCTAACAAACACCACCATCATCATCATCGCCATCATCATAATCATCAGTAGCAGCGCCGGCATCATCAGCATCATCATCAACGCCCCCATGATCAGATTCGTCAGCAATGTCACCATCATCATCAGCATCATCATCACCATCACAACCACCATCATCTACACCATAATCATCATCATAATCATCCGCATCATCATGATCATCATCATGGTCAGCATCATCATGGCCATCGTCATTGTATCCATCATCATCATAGCCATGATAAGAATCATCGTCGCCATCATCATCATCAGCATCATCACCAGCATTACCTTCAACATCACCCAACACGTCATTGCCATCACCAGTAGCATCATCGTGATCATCAACATCCGAATCATCACTTGCATCGTCATCATCCGCAGAAGCACCATCATCAGATTCGCCATCATCGTCATCATCACCAAAACCATCATGAGCATCAGCATTATCATCATCAGCAGCAGCATCATCATCATTTTCGCATGCTCATCATCAGCATCATCACCACCATCATCATCATACACATCATCATCATGACCATCTGCCTCATCATCATCGCCATCATTATCATCATTTGCATCATCATCCTCATCACCATCAGCATCATCATCGTCGTCACAATCATCATCACCGTAATCACCACCCATCTTTCCATCATCATCAGCAGCATCAACATCATCATCATCGTCGTCATCGTCATCAGCACCACCACAATCATCAGCAGCATCATCGCCGCCATCGGAATGAGCATCGTCATCCCATGATCATCGTCACCAGCACCATCATCATCAGCATCGTCATCAGCAGCCGCATCGTTCCCATCGTCACCATCAGCATCGACATCATCGGCAGCATCATCGCAAAAATCAACAGTATCATCATCACTACGAGTAAACCAATACCATCACCATCGTCATCATCAGAATCATCATAATCGTCCTCATCACCATCATCGCCATCTTCATTATCATTATTATTATCAGCATCATCATCATCCTCGTAATCGTCATCGTCATGCTCATCATCAGCAGCAGCAGAATCGTCATCGCCATCGTCATCGCCATCAGCACACTCATGAGCGCCATCGCCATCATCATCGAATCAGCATCACGATGATGGGTGAACACCACCACCATCATCATCATCAGTACCATCATCGTCATCATCAGCAGCAGCTGCTGCACCAGCATCAACATCAGCATCACCATCATAAGCATCAGCATCACCAGCATCATCATCACCATCAACATCATCACGACCATCGTCATCATCATCATCGTCATCATCAGCATCACCGTCAGCATCCTCATCATCATCATCAGCATCAGCATCGTCATCGTAATCGTCATCCACAACAGTATCATACTTAGCATCATGGTCGTCATCATCGTCGCCATCAGCGTCGTCGTCATCAGAATGATTATCACTTTCATCCGCATCGTGATCATCATGATAACCGTCATCATAATGATCATCGTCTTTGGCATCATCAATCATGATGATCATCATTATCATCGTCATCCTCATAATCATCAGCATCACAATTATTAGAACTACCATCATCATCAACAACAGCATCGTCATCGTCATCATCGTCATCATCATCACCGAAATCATCCTGATGATCATAATCATCATCTTCATCATTGTCATCATCGGTACCAGCGTCATCATCAGAATCAGCATCATCATCACCAAGATCGCCAATATCATCACCAATAGCATCATCGTCGTCATCAGCATCAGAATCATCACCAGCATCGTCATCATCCGCGCAAGCGTCATCGTCAAATTCGTAATCGATATCACCAAAATCATCATGATCATCGTTATCATGATCATCATGACATCATCATTCCCATCATCATTATTAGCATCAGCATAATCACCAGCATCGTCATCATCATGACCATGAGCTTCATCATCAACATCATCATCAGCATCATCATCATCACCATCCTCATCAGCATCATCAATATCATCAGCATCAGCATCATCATCAGCAGCAGCATCGGCATCATCGCCATCAGCGTCATCGCCCCTAGCATCCAAGATCATCAGCAGCAGCACCAGCAGCATCACAACCATGACCACCAACTGACACTGACTGACACTCCCGCGCGTTGGCACCAAGTAGGGTGCAGCGGGTGTGGCGCCGGAGCGCCGTTCAGCGTGGCGGTCTTCACAACATAAACCTTGGAAGAGGAGGAGGAGGAGGAGGAGGAGGAGGAGGAGGACGACGACGACGACGACGAGCATCATAACCATCATCGAGCACCGGGAGCAGTAGCGGGGGCCACGCCCGGGGCCTTCGCCTCGAGGTCGCCGAGCATCTCGATGACCTTCCCGATGGGGCTGGCCTGGGCGCGCGCGCGGCCGGCGCGGGCCACGCGGGGAGGCTCCTCCGCGCCGCCCCGGGGCCGCCCAGGCTCCGCGCCTCGCGCTCTCGCGGGGCCCAGGCCCAGGCCCGGCCCTCCCGCCCTCCCGCGGGACGCCCCGGGCCCAGGCCGCGCCGCGCACGGCGCGGGCATCGAGCATCGCTGCACCAGCCCCTGCAGTCGGCTCCTTTGGACCCCAGGCAACCACACCTGCAGCAGAAGATCTGGTCTCACGACGCCCCCCGCTCACGCCCACGCCCGCGCCCACCACGCCCGCGCCCACCACGCCCGCGCCCACGCCCGCGCCCACGCCCGCGCCCACTCTCGCGCCCAGGCCCAGACCCAGGCGCAGGCCCACGCCCAACGCTCACGCGCACGCGCGCGCCACGCCCACGCCCACGCGATGGGGGGTGGAGGCCGCTGCCTGCGGGCCCCGAAGGGCATCTCCCCAACGGGGGCGCCGAGATGGTGGGGGTCCTGATGATGGGGATGGAGACGTTGACGACGATGCTGACGAGGATGTTGACGACGATGTTGACGACGGCGGCGGCGGCGGCGACGACGACGACGACCATCGCACCGTCGATGGGGTCCGCCGAGCGATCCTGACTACGCCCCTGCGGGCGGCCTGCGTCGCGCTCGGCGCTCAGCGCTCGCACTGCGAGATCGTTCTTTCCGGGTGCGCGGCGCACCGCGCTGGCCTTCGAGCGCTGCCCCAATGTTCCCCATGTTTTCCCCTGTTTTCCCTATGTGCTCCCCTGTCTTCCCCTCTTTCTTCCCCTGTGCTTCCCCGTCTTCCTGAGGTCTGCGCTGCTTTGTGCCGGTGCCCACTTGCCCCCTCCTGAACTTAGGTCGGGCATGTCCCCCTAGCATGTCCCCCTACAGGCGGATCTTGTGCGAAAAAATATTTGTAAATACTTAAAAAATACCCCAGAATGGTCAAAAATAGTCAGAAGTTGTCCCCAGACTGTTTTTAAACTATCTTTGAATATTCCTCCTGTAGAGGGGCAGGCCCGACTGAATCCTGAACCGAGAGGCCCCTGGCGCCCACGTCGAGGGAGAGCAGCGACGGCCCCGGGGCGAGCGGAGCGGCCTTCTTTAAGCAGGGGCCTACCGTCCCGGCATTCCTGTTGTCCTACCACGAAAGGTTCTCAGAACCCAAAAAAAACCTAAGAACAAAAACGGCATGCTCTTAGAACACAGGCCCGATGTGTTAAAACAAGACAGCCCCAGCCAGAAATGTTCTGAGAGCACTTCGTGGAAACCACAACAGATTCCTAGAACATTCTTCGGTAGGCCTATAGGCGAGCCGGGACGCTTCGCCACTGCTTGCCTTCTTGGGATGCAGAGGCCCTCGGCCGCGCACCCTCCCGGAGGCGGGGGGCCCGCTCCCGGCCAGCGTGCCGCCGCAGGGAGCGCCGAGTCGGGAGCAGGGACGCTTCTGGCACGGGCCGAGGGGTCGTGAGACGCGCAGGGACACACTAATACATTTTCGGCGGTGGACAAACCTCCCTTTAAAAAACCACCCTTTAATGAAAACGGCCTGGGACCAATCGACGCGCCTGGACCCGCAAAAATGACGGCCGCGACGCCCTCTCGCGAACCGAAGACGGCCAATTCACTAATCGACGTGTCAGGGTAGGAGGTCTATCAATCTCCGATATATGTCCTCCTCGGAGGCGCGCGTCCGACCCAAACATACAGTATATACCCATCTTGTAGTATTATCGTTTCCCGAGCGGCGTGGCCAGAAAGCGCCCGCCACGGCGCATATACTAGAAGATTTCTCGGTGCGCGCGTCGCCCCTGGGGGGCGACGAGCATATAGGGGCGACGCCGAGGTCAGGTCTGCAGAAGACCCCAAGCGGACGTCGAGGGGCGCAGCCAACCTGTTCGGTCAAACTACGATTGATGCACCACACCCGGCGTCGAGCCAAAACTTTGGACATGAGCGAGTGGCTGGACGTTGCACCTCTTCGTCGGCTTGACCGGCGAGGCGTTGCACCACCTTGACGTCCCCTTTGCGGTGATCCTGCAGAGGCCTCGGCCCGACTCAGGGCACCGGCGAACCGCGGCCACGAACCCCACGAACGGCCCGAGAACCAGAGCGGCCCAGAGGAGGAGGGGAAGGGCCGTGAAACCTGGGAGAGAGCGTGGCCCTGGCCATGATGCCCACGCTTTTGGGGGTCCGCGGGCGCGAGAAGATCAGACGCTGGTCGAGCAGCGGCGGGGCGCGCCGGAGCACAACGAGGCACAGGGAGGAGGGGACGCGCGAAGCGAGGACGGCCAGAGAGGCCGAAGGGTCGGGAGAGCCACGCTGGGCCATCGAAGTCCTCGTGTGCGTGCCGAGGTGCGCTGATACCCGCACACACCCGTGCCCCTCTCCCTTCGGCTACACGCGAGAGTGACCCATGGGTAAGAGTGACCTTCGGTGCGCGGCTCCTTGGGAGCGCGGGGGGGCCGAACCCAAACGCGCAAGACGCTGCTGTCGCATCGCGCTGGGCGGTCGGGTGACCCCGATGGGCCCGCACCGACGGTCGCTCTGGCGAAGGGTCACTCGTAAGTTCTTATCGATCCCTCCTCTCGGACGCCACCGAAGGCCCCCCCCTGGCCTCGCGGGGGCCGACATCAGCCCAAGACCCCGGCACACGGAACGGGAGCGGGCCCGCAGAGGCGGCCCGGCGGCGTGCCATTCGGGCCTCCCTCTGCCGACTCTCCCGAGGCCCCCGCGCCTGGGCCGCGGCCGTGCGGAGAAGGAGGAGGAGGAGGAGGAGGAGGACTGAGGAGGCCAAGGAAGAAGACGAGGAAGAGGAGGAGGAGGAGGAGGAGGAGGAAAGAAGGAGGAGGAGGAGGAGGAGAAGGAGGCGGAGGAGGAGGAGAAGGAGGAAGGAGGACGGCTGCCCCCAGTCGCGGATCGGCCAGGGTCTGCCCCAGGACGGCGCCTCGACGGCACAGGGGCCACCCCGAGGTTGTCCTGAGACGCCCCCAGACGGACTCCAGGGCCCTGCACTCCTCACCCTCATCCTTCTCCTCTTCTTCTTCTTCTTCTTCTTCTTCTTCCTCCTCCTCCTCCTCCTCCTCCTCCTCCTCCTCCTCCTCCTCCTCCTCTCCTCCTCCTCCTCCTCTCCTCCTCTCCTCCTCTCCTCCTCCTCCTCCTCTCTCCTCCCTCCTCTCCTCCTCTCCTCTCCTCCTCCCCTCCAACCCTCCTCCCCTCCTCCCTCCTCTCTCCTCCTCTCCTCCTCTCCTCCTCCTCCTCCTCTTCTCCCCACCTCCCTCCAACCCTCCTCCTCCCTCCTCCTCCTCCTCCCTCCTCCTCCTCCTCTCCTCCTCATCCTCCTCCTCCCTCCCTCCTCCTCATCTCCTCCTCCTCCTCCTCGTATCCTCCTCCTCCTCCTCCTCTCCTCCTCCTCCTCTCCTCCTCCTCCTCCTCCTCCTCCTCCCCTCCTCCTCCTCCCTCCTCCTCCTCCACCCCCTCCTCCAGCATCATCATCATCATCATCATCATCATCATCATCATCATCATCATCATCATCATCATCATCATCATCATCATCAACAACATCATCACCATCACCATCACCATCACCATCACCATCACCATCATCATCAGCATCATGATCATCATCACCATAATCATCATCATCATCATCATCATCATCATCATCATCATCATCCATGATCATCATCATCATCATCATCATCGCCACCATCGTCATCAGCATCATCATCAGCATCATGATTATCAGCATCATCATCATTATCAGCAGCAGCAGCATCAACATCGTCGCCATCACCGTCCTCCCCTTCCTCCTCCTCCTCCTCCTCATCATCATCATCAGCAGCAGCAGCATCAACATCATCATCATCATCATCATCATCATCATCATCATCATCAGCAGCAGCAGCAGCATCAGCATCATCATCGCCATCATCATCATCATCATCATCATCATCATCATCATCATCATCAGCAGCATCATCATCATCCTCATCCTCATCCTCATCCTCATCATCATCATCATCCTCATCATCATCAGCAGCAGCACCAACATCGTCGCCATCATCGTCCTCCTCGTCCTCCTCCTCGTCCTCATCATCATCATCATCAGCATCATCATCAGCATCATCACACATCATCATCATCATCATCATCATCATCATCATCATCATCATCATCATCAGCATCATCATCATCATCAGCAGCATCATCATCATCATCATCATCATCATCATCATCAGCATCGTGGTCGTCGTCGTTGTCGTCATCATCATCATCAGCAGCTGAATCAGCATCACCATAATCGTCATCATCGTCATCATCATCAACATGATCATCATCATCACCATCATCAGCATCAGCATGAGCATCATCGTCATCGTCATCATCATCATCATCAGCATCATCATCATCGTCAGTATCATCAGCATCATCATCAGCAGCAATACATCATCAGCATCATCAGCATCATCAGCATCAGCAGCATCATCAGCATCAGCATCATCATCAGAATTATCATCGTCGTCATCATCACCATAATCATCATCAGCAGCATCATCAGCATCAGCAGCAGCATCATCATCATCATCATCATCGTCAGTATCATCAGCATTTCAACAGCAACATTACATCATCAGCGTCATTATCAGCATCAGCAGCATCATCAGCATCAGCATCATCATTATAATTATCATCGTTATCATCGTCATCAGCATCATCACCATTACCAGCATCAGCAGCATCACCAGCATCATCAGCATCATCACCATCACCATCATCATCACAGTAAAGATGTCCATAATCATCACCATCATCATCTCATCATCATCAGCAGTAGCAGCATCAGCATCATCAGCAAAATCAGCATCCTCATCCTCATCCCCATCCTCATCACCATCGTCATCCTCATCATCCTAATCATCAGCATTATCAGAATGATCATCATCATCATCAGCATCGTCATTATCATGAGCATCGTCATCATCATCATCATCATCATCATCATCATCATCATCATCAGCATCATCATCATACTCATCCTCATCCTCATCCTCATCCTCATCATCAGCAGCATCGGCATCGGCATCAGCATCATCATCAGCATCAGCAGCATAATCATCATCATCAGCGCATCAGCATCATCATCAGCAGCATCATCGTCATCAGCAGCATAATCATCATCATCATCAGCAGCAGCATCAGCATCATCATCAGCAGCAGCATAATCAGCATCATGTGCAGCATCAGCAGCATCATCATCATCACCATCAGCAGCATCATCAAGTTCATCGTCAGCATCAGCATCATCATCATTATCATCCTCATCCTCATCTTCCGACTCTCCTTCTCTCCTTCTCTCTTCTCTCCTCCTCTCCTCCTCCTCTCCTCCTCTCCTCCTCTCCTCTTCTCCCCATCTTCCCTCCTCCCCTCCTCCCCTCCTCCTCGCCTCCTCTTTCTCCTCCTTCTCCTCCTCCTCCTCTTCCTCCTGCTCCTCCTCCTCCTCCTCCTCCTCGCATCCTCCTCCTCCTCCTCGCCTCCTCTTCCTCCTCCTCCTCTTCCCCCCCCCGCATCCTGCACGGCGGCTGCATGTGCAGAGGCGGCTGCGAGGGCCAAGGTGACAAGCTTCATGCCGGCCATCTGTGATGCCTCGCCCCACAGCGCCCCTGGG